TTACACCCAAAGGATAGAGGATTTGAAGATGCCCATTGGATATCAACCTCCATCATTTCAACAATTCGATGGAAATGCAATCCAAGACAACACATCGCCCACTTCGTGGAAACATGCAACGACGCTGGGACGTATGGAGATCTTCTTCTCAAGCAGTTCGTCCGCTCTTTGAAGGGTACTGCCTTCAATTGGTACACTGACTTGGATCCTAGCTGCATTGATAGCTGGCAGGACATGGAGCGCGAGTTCTTGACCCGCTTCTACAGCACAAGAAGAACCGTTAGCTTCTTAGAACTCACCACCACTCGCCAGAGGAACGGTGAAAGCTCAACTGCTTACATTTAAAGATGGAGGGAGTTATGCTTGAATTGCAAGGAAAAGATATCACAGAGTTCCGCGATTGAAATGTGCATCCAAGGCATGCACTTCGAGCTCTCTTACATCCTCCAAGGGCTCAAGCCTAAGACTTTTGAGGAATTATCTAGTCGCGCCCACGATATGGAGTTAAGCATAACAGCTAACGGTGGACAAAACATACACATTCAAAGCTTCTACAATGGGGGCAATAGTCATGATGACGTTGAAAATGGCGGCAAGGCCTTTAAGAAATATGAAAGCATGGATGCTATGCATGTGAATATTCAACCAGCTAGGATATTCTCTAAAGCTACTGGTGAGTCTAGGGATGCTTCTAGATCATTACAGGGTAGTAGAAGGCTTTCTTTCAGGGAAAGACAAAACAAGAAGTATCCATTCTTGGATTCTGATATCGCACATATGTTTGATGAGCTACTAACGCACAATCTCGTTGATTTGCCAGAAATGAGGCGACCACACGAGGCTTTAATGGTGGATCATCCGAGTTATTGCAAGTTTCATAGACTTGTCGGACATCCAATTAAAAATTGCTTTATCTTTAAGGATAAAGTAATGGAGTTAGCTCGAGATGGGAGAATTGAACTTGCAGATGCCACAGCAAGCGCTAATCAAGTTTCCATCTCATGCGGTAAATCTACTTCGCTTCTCATTGAGAGGAACAATGTGAAGGGAAATAGAAAACGACACAAGTGTGTATTCCCTCTTAACATCAAGTCTTATGATACCAAACCCGAGTATGATACTCGGCATGATATTAAGCATGCTAAACAACAACACGTTGATGATGCGACACGACCATCTAGCAAGTTATGAAAAGGTGGGTCAAGAAGAGAATGTTAAAAGGCTCTATTGATGGGAGGACTTGCGGCCACCATATGAAAGCACGAGTTCCAGTCACATTGGCGGATTACGTGCCGAAGTGATTCCATATTACTCCAACTAACCAAGGAATGAAGATGAAAATTCCTCAAATCAACCCATATGCTAGAGAAGAATGTGCCTCAACACATTATACCACAATATGTGATGGAGGAAATATTCTTCAAGCTTCCTCAATGTGAATCGAAAACGCATCATATTCAAGACTCCCCGGCATGAGTCGAAACTGCCTCATATCCCTAGACTCGCCGTCACGAGTTGAAACTGCCTCATATTACTTCAAGGCTCCCCGGCACGAGTCGAAACTGCCTCATATCCCATAAAGCTCCTTGGCACGAGTTGAAATGGCCTTATAGTTTCGAGACTTCCATGCACTACATACTTTCAAGCAGTGTATACTCTCAAGTGGAATGTCCAAGAAAGTCTCGAGGGGGCAATTTGTAGACACAGAAAATTTGAAGCCGACAAGTGGACCGATTAAATCATTATCGAGCCCAATTTCAGAGTTGATCATTAGTCCAATTTAATTAATTGGGCTATGATAATTAAATTAATTTAATTAGTCCAAGTAAATTCGATTTGGGCTATTGAATTAATTAATTAATTGGTCCAAGCCCATTTCATAATTGAATTATAATTATAATTATAATTTAAATATAATATGATTTTATTATATTTGAATTAGATAATAATAATTTAATTTGAATTTGAATTAGATGATAGAATAATGAATCTAGACTTGATTTTGGCAAGGTTCATTTTAGTAGATAATTAATTAATTTAATTAAATAAATATTAGTGGAGTTTGTTGCGGGATTTTAGTTACAAACTTCACTATAAATAGAGCCTCAATTTCATTCTTTAAATCACACCTTAAATACATTGAGAACAACTTGAAGGCTTGAGAGCTTGAAGGCATTGAAGAACACTTGAAGACTTGAAGGCATTGAAGAACGCTTGAAGACTTGAAGGCTTGAAGATTTGAGAGCTCTTTTGAAGGCATTTGAAAATCTTGAAGAATTAAAGGCATTGAAGGCATTTTTTGCAGGTTTTAAAGATCTTGAAGCAACTTGAAGCCTTTTTGTAGAGTTGATTGCTTCGAACCTTGACGTTTGCTGTTGAAGATCATGCCACTTGAACCCAGGAAGCTACGCCGTTTGAATCGCGGAGGCACGCGCCAATTGAATCCCGGAGGCTACGCTACTTGAATCCTGGAGGCACTTCAGTAGATTTTGAGCTTGGCAGAATTGATTGTCTCGGAGGTCTTGAAGTCTTTTGAAGGCATTTGAGGATCTTAAGGCAACTTGAATCCATTGTATGTGTTTTGAAACTATGCAGGGTTGATTGTTTCTAAGTTCTTGACATTTGCTGTTGAAGATCACGCCACTTGAACCCCGGAAGCTACGCCATTTGAATCCCGGAGGCACGCGCCAATTGAATCCCGGAGGCTACGCTACTTGAATCCCGGGGGCACTTCAATAGATAACATTAGTAGAATCAGAGGACTTGACAGAGATTGTGTACCTGCACATTGAATTATACACACGCTGTACACGAAATTTTGTGAATATATACAAAGTTTACTTTTTTGTGTTTACAGAAGCATATGAGTATTTCATATTTGAGTATTTTTAATTTTTAATACTATTTTAATGTTTTTTTTTTGAAAACCATTGTTTTGATGTTACTTATGAATTATCATTAATTTATTTATTTGGATGTGTTATTTGATTAAATGTTGAAAACAACCTCATTAAAATTGTCAAACTGCAAGTCTACCACTATTTTTTTGGCGCCCGCCTAGCGCCGCCTAGATTCCGCCTAGGTGCCGCCTAGACTGCCTAGGCGCTAGGCGCTGTCCGAGCGCCCGACTAGCGCCTAGCGCCTACTGCAACCATGATTGGAAATAGAATGACACTGCAAAGGAAGATCAGTCAGCAATTATTACCATACGACAGTGTACTTCCTTTGAGTCCAACACCTGAGCTATTTTGTTTCTAAATGCTTTGCTCCACTCAATTGCAGAAAATCTATAAATGAACACTAGAGATACACCAACCCATATTCTCTTCCAACTTCCAACACCACTAAGTTTTCTCTCTTTTTTTTTTTTTTTTTCAAATTAATCATGAATGGCTTACAGTAAGATCATTCAAACTGAAATGAGTAATCTAACTTGCTTCTCCGAACATAATTCTATAGTAAAACTTTCCCAGACATTATCAAAACTCAAAAGTGCCTTGTTTTCCTCTTAAAAGAAAAACAAGAAACTAACAAACAAATGAATTGCGGCTTTGTCAGCTTTTATACGAAAACAGCCAACACCATAATCAATAGATCGCACTTGGAAACAAAATTAAAAGTTCTCTATTCCCAATCCTAATAACCCTTCATCAAACACAGTTCAACTCCCTAATACCCCACCACCCAAACCCAAACCCTAACACTACCCCAAAGTCTGGGAAAATTACCAAATAAATTCAAATAATTAGAAATTAGAAAATTTAAATAGTATTAAAAAAAAAAACTTACCAGCGGGAAGGCATGCGGTGGTGTCGGAGATGCGCGGTGGCAGTGGCAGTGGCTGTGTGGTGGGTGGCTATGGTTGTGCGGGTGAAACTCGGAGGCGTCGAATCGAAGGCTTGGGCGCTGGGCAGTGGGAGGTGTGGAGATGGCTGTGGCGCTGGGCGGTGTCGCGGTGGCAGCGAAGTCCGGTGTCGTGGGGCGCGATGGCGGCGAAGTCCGGTGTCGATGGGCGGTGTCGCGGTGCGCGGTGGCGACGTGTCGCGGTGAAGGCTTGGGGAGTGCGATTTGGGCGATGACGGAGGGGAAGAATGAATGAGAATGGGGCGCTGAATATCTGCGCTTATTTATCGGCACAAGGGTTTTAAAAACACTATGATGTCGGCTATTAACTAATAGCCGACGTCATAGGTTAACCGAATTAAAAAAAAAAACAAATAGAATAACTTATGACGTCGGCTATTAAATAGCCGACGTCGTATTGTATTTATTTTTTTATTTTTTTTATTTGTAACATATTACGTCGGCTATTAACTAATAGCCGACGTTATATATTTAAAAAAAAAAAAATTAGAAAAGACTTTTAACGTCGGCTATATGTATAGCCGACGTTAAAAGTTCGACGTTATATGTGAATTCTGTAGTAGTTTATTGTGTATTACAGCGTTGCTGTGTTTCGCTCGACGCGTCGAGACCTGTTGGTCTCGCCCGTTTTGTCTTCTGAAAATTTTGGTCCGGCTCGACGCGTCGAGAGTGTTGTGTAAGCGTCATTCGGTCCACTTTGACTCCAAATTTGTCCTAAGACTTCCCTTGCTCATAACTTTGACCTACAATGGTTTAAAAACACTAACAAACACTGTAAAACATCCAAAACAAGTGTAGAACCATATCCTAATGAGAATAGCAAGGAAAACATGTATTAAATAAGCAAAATTAAAGAACTTAATTACCAAGATGATTCAAAATAACTATAAAAACAAGCACAAATGTGATAACATCACTTGTGCGTGACGCTGCGCACCAATAGCACTTCCAAAATGCACCAAGAACTCAACCAAACTAGAATGACCATTAGAGAACGTACCAAAAAAACTATTTTGAGACTCTGATTGAGACGTTGTCCTAACCAAACCTGACATAAACTCGTCATTAAAATATGGGGATGCCCAAAATGTACGACACTCAAACAAGTAACGAAACCAACCATTGTCACCCAAACTTTATTCCTCCATAATACAACTCCATGCATCCTCAAAAGACTTGGAGTCCAGAGATTTGTTCCAAACGATGCCATTCAACTTCTTCCTAAACACTTCATCTTTAGACAAAATTGGTCCAACCTTCTCACCAACCTTGCACATTATATGCCACATGCAAAATCTATGTTTTGATGTATCAAACACACGGTCAACAGCAACCTTGAGAGCTGGATCTTGATCAGTAACAACAAAAATAGGGTCATGACACATAGTTTTCTTAAATTTCTCTAAAAGCCACACATATGAGTCTACGTCTTCCCTCGTAAGCAAACCAGCACCAAATGTGATGGATCTCTTATGGTTATCAATTCCAGTAAACGGAACAAAAACCAACTTATACCTACAACACAACAATCAGTTAACACCACACTTCTAACAAAACACACTATAAGGCATGGAATCATGCACCACATAAATATACAACATACACAATAAAAATAAATACTAACCTGTTAGTATGGTATGTAGCATCGAATGAAACAACATCACCAAACAAAGCAAAATTCTTCCTAGATACTGCATCCGCCCAAAAAACCCTTGAAAGCTGATCAACTTCATCAACATCATATTCAAAATCAAAAGCCTCACACAATTCACGCATCTTGAAAAGCGTATCTATGAATAATTGAGCATCACCATTTAAAATGTACGCCATCAGGTCACGCTTGAAATTCTTAAAATCTACATTTGTAGCCCCAACATTGGAACGCTCACCAACAATCTCTTTAAACAACCTATATGATCGAACAGAGCCAATATTTGCCTGATCACAACTCGCAATAAACATTTGGTGCTCAGCATCAAGGCTACGATTCACCTTTAAAAATTGCCTAGCAATAATTGAACACATCGAATGGGTGTGGCGTTCCTCAAAAGAATGCACAAAATACAAACAATTAGACTTAAGCTTTACCACAACCTTAGCCTTACAACCAACCCTATTTGTCACCCTCCGTCTCCTCGCCAAAGTAGTTTTAGCAATACTAGAAACTCTCTGCTTAAAACCATGACGATTACATATTACATGCTTCTCCACAACAACATCATCTCTACTCTTGCGAATTGAGTCTTGCCTACAATCAAACCAACAGTCCCAGCATATTGTTTGTAAAAAACAATAGCACCATCCAAGGAAACAAACTGTTGCCCAAAAAGAGGCTTCAAACTGTTAGCGCAAACTGGGCGCCAATACTTAGTCAACCCAGGAGAAATTTCCAACTCACATGAGCTGCCTTGTACACCCACATCGGTCAAATAATCTTCATCACAACGCACACCACTGCCTCCTACACCAACATCAGTCGCATTGCCTTCATCGCAACCATCACCACTGCATTCTACACCAACGTCAGTGGGATTACCTTCATCACAAACACCACCACTGCCTTCTCCACAAACATCAGTTGAATTATTTTTATTGCAAATACCAAAAGATTCCAAATCAACAGTTGCACACCACATGTTAACTAATAAAGCACCACACCTTATCCAATAACACATGAATAACCCTACCTACATGCACATGCCACATGCATAAAATCTAATACTGCCAATCACACAACAAACAATATATGCACCACGAGCAGACAAAGTACACCGTAATCACAAAACAACACACAACAACATAGTCAACACCGAGACCCCGCAAAACCAGATAAAAACATGCGATAAACTTCCAAAGCAGAACAAACACATAATAATAAAAGACAAATTAAAACTACAAACATAAGCAAATCAAACATACCAGGCTCCATCGCTCAATTTCAATATTCTCCAAACTGCGATATCTCTAATTGATATCGCAACTGATATATCGTCCAACTTCCGATTGTGATCTCCAGCGATATTCTCCCAATTACGACGCGATCGTGATCTTCTCCCAATTACGATGTGATCACGATCGCGGTGTTGATCTCTCTCTCAGCGCTTAAAATTAGACAAAATAAAGCAGCTTATATACATGCACGTCCCCATCCAATGAAATTACTGAAACGCCCCCAATTACCAAAAGCGCGATAAAATTTACTTAATTAAAATAATGTGCCGCTGCCGTTAGATTAGAATTGATCAACGACAATGATATGACCACACCGCCTCACCTAAGAGCACAGCTGCGTATGAGCATTTACCTATATATATATATATATATATATATATATATATATATATATATATATATATTGTTGTAATATATAGAAACTGGTGATTATGAATGAAAGATTTTCCTCCTCTTTCTCTTCTTCTCTGTACTACTTTAAGCATTTAACAGTTATAAATAAAAAATTCAATTAGAATTAATCTCAGTATAAATTCACGTTGTAAGATTTGAACTCCTAAAATTTAGAAAAAAAAAAACTAAATATCCTACCATCTCTTGGCAACCATTGGCAACCACCGAGGATGGGCTTTAGAAGATTAATGTGGATGCATCGGTTAGATTAGATGCAAACACGGTGGGGATGGGGTGGGTTGTCTGGGATTGGGAAGGGAAGTTTGTGGCGACTGGGGCAGTGAATAGAGAGGGGGCTTGTCTGGCTCGTGAGGTTAAGGCTTCGGCGGTTAGGGAAGCGTTGAGTTGGCTAAAGGGAATGCATTATGACGACATTATTGTAGAGACAGATGCAAAAGAACTCCTTGACCAGCTTTGAAAGTAGACTATGATGCCATAGTTTTCTAATGTTTGTTTTCGTTTTGTGAAGCGCTCTGCAAATTATGTAGCTCATCTTTTAGCTAGAGTAATGAGTTAGATGAGTTCTTGGTTTTGGTTTGATACCGGCCCTTATTTTATTTTTCAAACTCTTTGTAATGACATTATGAATATATAACAGTGTGTGGTTTTTCTTTCGAAAAGAAATATCATATACTACCGTCTAAGCTAACACATCCATTGATTAAATTTATATAAATTTAATATTTTAAAGTTAACTATGAATATACAAAAGACCTATACACACAATATATATAAATAGGATGAGGTGGAGGAGTGGGGATAGTTGCCCCCATTGCTCCCATTGTGGTTCCACCACTGAAAGTGGATTGTTACCTATAATTCTAGTACAAAAATGACATTAATTCAAAATTAAATATTCAAATTTAAATGTCAGATATGGAGATAATAAGTAGTTATAAGAAGGTTTTTTTTTTTTTTTTTTTTTTTTTTTTTTTTTTTTGTTAAAAAAAAAAAAAAAAAAAAAAAAACTTTCCTTATCAACTCACCAAGACAATAATATTTAAATTATTCATTGTTTGAAATCTCTATAGCTGAACAAATATACAAACCTCTCGTGGTATCAGTAGACTTGTTCGATAGATATTAGGCATGAACATGGCTAGTCTACCTGATGGAATAATCACGGAGCCGGAGTGGAGCAACGCAGGACAAGCCGGGTCAGACCCGGAGCAGGACGAACCACCCCGGGGTCGGCCAGGGCCGACCCCCAGAGCTCGGCCGAGCCCCTTGGGCTCGGCTACATGGGCTCGGCCTCGGCCGAGCCCATGCTCGGCCCGTTGGCCGAGCTCCGTGCTCGGCCAATGGCCGGGTCCTCGCGTGGAGCGAGTCCCGCGCCGCGGGCCGCGGCTCCTCCCGCGGGCCCGGGGCCCGTGGCAGTCAGGGGTATATAAACACCCCCCGGTGTCCTAAGGAGACATCTCGGACTTTTCCTACAGCATTTGCCTTGTTATTACACGTCCCGAACCTCTGTAATAGCGTTTTATATCCAATCAATACAATATTTACCGTTTTATTATCCGTTCTTCGTACTCAATATATATTCGGGTTGTATAATCCGGACCCCCGGGTTCATATAATCCATCATTGGTGCTCTCGTTGAGAGCGGCTATTCAAGCTTAAGCGCTCTCCCTATTATCCTGCATTGACAAGATCTGGGTCGAACACCCACAACTCGCAGGGCTCGCGCAACCCACGCGACCTCGCCCTCGTCAACCGCCCCAACGGGATCGTGGCGAGCCGATTGACCATGTCCGTAGGGGCCGGGGAGGACCTCCGGGATCAGATCAACGGGAGTCGACAGGGGGCCGTGGGGGACCTTCGGAGCCGTCTCACCAACAATCGCCCTCTCGGCGGGGCAGCGCCACCCGCACCACCTCAGGTCCCGACCTCTCAACAAGATGCCGTCATACTAGAACAGGCAGCGAACGGGCTCAACCGCGTCGCGGCAGGGCTGCGCCAGGGAGGCCCAGCGACCCCACCTCCGCCCCCTCCGAGGGTGCGCAGCGGCCCCAGCACTCAGGCGCCCCGGGAACCCGCAGCACCGGCTGAGGAGGAAGTCAATTCACCACGACCTTCTGGGAGGCGCGACGGGGCGAAAGCCACCCGAGGCCGACACGAGCAGCGAAATGAAGGGCGAACTCGGCCGGCGCGTACCACCTCCGTGCTTGGGCGGTTGGGTCCACGTGTACCGGCGCGAGACCGCCTGGGGCCGGGGCCGAGCACACACGTCAGGCAAGAGGAGTCATCGTGCTCGCGGAGGTCCCGGAGCCCGAACCCCGTGTCCCGAGGCAGTGGGAGCCGGCCCCACCCATGGAACGCTCAGGGAAGACCAGAGGCCAACCCCCGAGCACCCAGCACGAAGAGATGGAACAGTTGCGTCGACAGGTCCGCGAGTTGCAGCGCAAGATGGAGGCACGCGACGAGTCCCCGGAGCCCCGGGACGCCCTGGCCACACCCTTCACAGAGGCCATCATGGCCGAGCCTTTACCCCGGGACTTCCGATTCCCGACCATTAAACCCTACACGGGGGTGACGGACCCGCGGGACCACCTCAACAGGTACAAGGCGGTCATGATGATGACAGGCATAAATGACGCCATCATGTGTCGCGGTTTTTGCACGACTCTGGATGGGCAGGCCCAGGATTGGTTCGGGTCCCTCCCGGGGGACTCCATTCGCACTTTGCGGGCAGCGTACAACGGCGAAAGCAGTTCGCCGACCTATGTTACCTGAAGCAAGACAAGTCGGAATCTCTGGCGGAGTACCTGAGTAAGTGGAAGAAAGAAGCTATGGGGGTAACAAATTTTGATGAAAGGTCCGCCATCCCGTTTTTGACCAACAACCTCAGGTCGGGCCCTTTCCACAACGACCTTGTTCGGAATGAGCCGAAGACCTATGCAGAACTGATGGACCGCGCCACGCGGTACGCCAATGCGGAAGTAGCAGAGAAGAGGAAGAAGGAGGAGGAGGAAGGCCGCGGACAGGGTGACAGGGCATCTCACCCTCAAGAGGATCGCCGCCCTCCCCGGTCGCGACGTGACCGGGGTCCCCGTCTAACCCCGCTACGACACTTGACCCCGTTGACACAGCCTGTTAGTGTAATCCTGGACCATGCCGAGGACATGTGCATCGTGTCGTTCCCCGAGGAATGCTTAAAGATTTCCCCCAAAGCCGACCCGAAGAAGTATTGCCGCTTCCATCGGCAACGTGGACACGACACCGACGAATGTATGGTCCTCAAGAGGCAGATTGAGGAGCTCATTCAATGAGGATACCTGGGGCAATACGTGAAGAGGTCCAGGCAGGACCACGCAAAAGGCCCTGACAACACCCGAAAGAAGAAGGATGGCACCGGGTCTTCTACTTCTGCCCCGCGCAAGAGGGAGCTCGACCACCTCACGGAGGACGAGGGGACCGAGCCAGACAGCCCACCAAAGAAGAAGGTCATCCATGTCATCTTCGGCGGCCCGGAGGGAGGGGACACACCCGCTGAGAGGAAGAAGTGGGCGCGGAGCCTATACGTTGGGGATGTCGTCAGAGCACCCCATGAGAAGAGGACACGCAGGGAGCCCATAACGTTCATCGACGACGACCTCCCGGATGGACCCTTACCCCACCAGGACGCATTGGTAATCCGCTTGGACCTTAATGACACTATCGTCCACCGGGTACTGGTAGATACGGGGAGCTCCGTGAATGTCATGTATTATGACACCTTCACACAACTCGGGTTATCCAGGAAGCAACTTTCCCAGGTTCAGACCCCGCTATCCGGCTTCACCGGAGACTCCATTGATACAGAAGGGTCCGTCATCCTTAAAGCGCAGATCGGCACCCCGCCGCACGTCAAGACATGGGACGTAGAGTTCGTGGTGGTAAAGATCAGCTGCGCCCACAACATCATCCTTGGCAGACCTGCCTTGGAGGACCTCAGGTGCGTCATCTCTATGGAGCACCTTTGCCTCAAATTTCCTACTCCCACCGGAGTGGGCACCGCGAGGGGGGACCAGAAGGTCAGTCGAAGCTGCTACTTGAAGGCCTGCCGCCAAATAATGAAGAAGGACCTCCAGGTACAGACAGTAACCGAGAGGGCCCTCCGGGAAGAGGAGAAGCGGCCCCGCGCCGAACCCGTGGTGGAGACGGAAGAGGTCATCCTGGACCTCAGCCGACCTGACAGGATGGTGAAGGTGGGCACCGGCCTCCCAGCTGACCTCCGAGGACGGATTGTCGAGGTCATCCGCAGCTATAAAGACGTGTTCGCTTAGGGTCCCGAAGACATGCCGGGCCTCAGCCGGGAGGTCATCACGCATAAACTGGCGGTGGACCCCAAAGCCAAACCGGTCCAACAAAGGAAGCGCTACCTCGCCGCTGATAGACGGGAGTTTGTGAAGAAGGAGGTTGACACCCTCCTCGAGATCGGGCACATCAGGGAGGTCACATACCCGGCATGGCTCGCGAACGTAGTCCTCGCACCTAAACCACCTACGTGGAGGATGTGTGTGGACTACACGGACCTCAACAATGCATGCCCCATGGACCCCTTTCCACTACCCAACATAGACCAGCTGGTGGACGAAACAGCAGGATGCGCACTCATGAGCTTCCTAGACGCCTTCCGGGGGTACCACCAAATTTTCATGCACGAGGAAGACGAAGAAAAAACGGCGTTCACCACCCCCGAAGGGGTCTTTTGCTATCGGGTCATAGCGTTCGGGCTCAAGAACTCGGGAGCCACATACACAAGAATGGTGGCCAAGGTGTTCAAGAGGGTCCTCGGCCGGAAACTACAGGCCTATGTGGACGACATGATTGTGAAAAGCACGGAGGCCGACCTACACCCAGCCGACTTGACCGAGGTATTTTCCATTATGAGACATTTTGATTTACGTTTGAACCCCAAGAAATGCACTTTCGGGGTACACGGAGGGAAATTCTTGGGGTACATGGTCTCAAAGAGGGGTATTGAACCCAACCCTGAAAAAGTCAAGGCCATCCTGGAGATGGAACCTCCGAGGTCCCTCCGCGAGGTCCAGCGCCTCAATGGTCGGCTGGCAGCTCTCAGTCGATTCCTCTCAAGGTCAGCCGAGAGGTCCCTGCCATTTTTTGGGGTCCTCAAGAAGAACCAGGGGTTCGAGTGGTCAGACGAATGCCAGAAAGCCTTTGAGGACCTTAAGACGTACCTCATGACGCTACCACCCCCCTAGCCAAACCGGAGAAAGGGGAGGTCTTGTACCTGTACTTGGGCATCTCGCAGGCCGCGATCAGCTCCGTACTGGTCCGGGATGATGCGGGAACCCAACGCCCGGTGTACTACGTGAGCAGAGCCCTCCGAGGCGCCGAGCTCAGGTACTCACCCACGGAGAAAGCAATCTTCGCCGTGGACGCCACGGCCAAGAAGCTCGGGCATTACTTCCAAGCACACCCCGTACGGGTCCTCACCAACCAACCCCTCGAGGCAGTATTGAGGGCCTCAGGGTCGGCAAGCAGATTGGTCAAGTGGTCCATGCAGTTGAGCCAATATGATGTCCAGTTCAAGCCCCGACCGGCAATCAAGGGGCAGGCGCTCGCCGACTTCATAGTCGAGTGCACCGCTCGCGAGGCCGCCGAGCTAGCCCGGAGCGATGAGGAGGATTGGTGGACCCTGTCCACGGATGGCTCGTCCGGCCCCAAAGGGTGTGGCGGAGGGGTGGTACTCGTAACCCCGGAGGGGTTCCGGGCCTACTACGCCCTTCGTTTCCACTTTAAGCTGTCTAACAATGAGGCTGAATACGAGGCACTATTGGGTGGCCTCAGGCTGGCATTGGGTCTGAGGGCCTCCAAAATAAGGGTGCGGTGCGACTCCCGACTGGTGGTCGGACAGGTGAACGGTGAATTCGAGGCCAACGAGGAGAGAATGCGGAGATACCGCGACGTGGTGCTCCAGGTCCTCGGTCAATTGACCCTCTACGAAATTTTGCAGGTACCCCGAAGTCAAAACGGGGACGCGGATGTGCTCTCAAAGCTCGGCCTCGGCACCCCGGAGCATGTCTCTAAGATAGCACGGATTGAAGACCTCCAGAGGTCCAGCCTGGAGGCCTACCCCGTCCTCCCCATACAGACACGGTCCTCGTGCTGGTTGGACCACCTGATCGAGTATAAGAGAACGGGTACCCTACCAACAGATGAGGCAGCCACCAAGGCGGTCAAGAGGAGATCACCAACATACGTCCTCCTTGGGGACACCCTTTACAAAAGGTCCTACAACGGTGCCCTCCTCCGATGCCTATACCCGGACGAAGCCAAGTCCGTCAAGGAGGAGATACAAGAAGGCACCTGCGCCGCACACCAAGGAGCCTTCACCATTGCGAGGAGGGCCCTATTGCAGGGGTACTTTTGGCCAAGCATGGCCAAGGAATGTGCAGAGTACGCCCGGGGTGCCCGACTTGCCAGCACTTTCACGCGGAGCCGGGACGGCCGGCTACCAGCTACACGCCAATCAGCACGGTAATCCCGTTTGCACGTTGGGGGATCGACATCGTCGGGGCCCTACCCATGGGGTTCGCAAAGAGGAAGTACATAATAGTCGCCATAGACTATTTCACAAAGTGGGTGGAGGCGGAACCCCTCGCCACCATCACAAGCACCCGGTGCACGGAGTTCATACGGAGGAACATTTTATACCGTTTTGGGGTCCCCATGCAGATCATCTCCGACAATGGGCGCCAATTCGAAAGTAAGGAATTTGAGGCATTCTGCGACCAATGGTACATAAAACACACCCGCGTGGCGGTGGCGTACCCACAAGCGAATGGGCAGGTGGAGAACGCCAACAGAACTATAATCGACGGCATCAAGAAGAACCTGGACGCAGCCGGAGGAACATGGGTAGAGGAGTTGGACACCGTCCTATGGGCATACCGCACCACCCCAAGAAGGGCCACCGGGGAGACACCGTTCTCGCTGGCATACGGGTTCGAAGCACGGGCTCCCACTGAAGCCGCGATACCATCCTATCGAGTCGCAGTGTACAACCCCGACCTCAACGAACAACACCACGCCGCCGACCTCCACCTCATCGACGACAAAAGGGAGGAGGCCATGGCCCGCGCAGAAAATTACCAAGGCCAGACAAAAGCTTACCATGACAGCGGAGTCCGACCCCGTTACTTCCAGGTTGGTGACTACGTCCTCCGAAGGAGGGAGGCAAGCCGACCCCAAGATGGAGGCAAATTTGCAATGAAATGGGAGGGACCGTATGTTATTGAGGCCATAGTACGACCGGGCAGTTACAAGCTAAGGACCACATCGGGCAAGGTGGTAGACAGGGTTTGGAACTTAGAGCACTTGTTGAAGTTCTACCAGTAGACATTCATTTGTATGGCCTGTCCCCCTTCCCAATAAAAGGCCAGGTTCCCCACAATAATGTTTGTTTACATTCGCAATGGAATAAGAAGTTTTTTTAACAAGTTACCCTGTCCCGAATGGCGGACAAGCGAAGGCACCCCAAGGCCGACCTACCCGAGGTCGGCCGGCACGGGGTCGGCCAGACCTGGGGGTCGGCCGGCACGAGGTCAGCCAGACCTGGAGGTCGGCGACCACATCGGATATAACACACGCCCTAGGGGTGGTACGAGGTCCGCCCTCGCCTATCGCCGAACGGAAGGATTCGGGACGCGAGTCGTTGGACTCCATCCCAAGAATCGCTAAGGCGTCCTAGGGGCGACATGAGGTCCGACCTCACCTGTCGCCGGACGGGCGCAACGCAACCTCAAACGCCCTAGGGGCGGTACGAGGTCCGCCCTCGCCTACCGCCGAACGGAAGGATTCGGGACGCGAGTCGTTGGACTCCATCCCAAGAATCGCTAAGGCGCCCTTGGGGCGACATGAGGTCCGACCTCACCTGTCGCCGGACGGGCGCAACGCAACCTCAAACGCCCTAGGGGCGGTACGAGGTCCGCCCTTGCCTACCGCCGAACAGAAGGATTCGGGACGCGAGTCGTTGGACTTCATCCCAAGAATCGCTAAGGCGTCCTAGGGGCGACATGAGGTCCGACCTCACCTGTCGCCGGACAGGCGCAACGCAACCGCAGCGCCCCAGAGGCGTTACGAGGTCTAACCTCGCTCGACGCCAGACGAATAACCCACCAGCAGACCCCGAGGGGTCGGCTGGCCGACCCGGGCTAGCTGACACCGCGATAGCGGGTAGTTAAACTCCCGCGGTACCAGAATTCATCAGTCCCAAGTGTGGACGAGGAGCAATCAAGAGCAATACACAAGTAAAACAGACGAAGCATAAGACGAAATAGAAGAGCGGTATCATAGCAAACAACGTCATAACACCAGCCAATATGTCCAAAGCAAGCAAAATAAACAAAAGAAACATAGGGGCGGCAACCCAAGCAACGAAGTAACACCAGTCTAAGCGAAATAACAACGAAGTAACGCCAGTCTAAGCAAAATAGAAAGATAGTCTATGCAGCAACTGAATAGAGATGAGAGGCCGCCAACATGGAAAGACGTCAGGGCTGCGTGGCCTCGCGGGTGCCGTCATCATCGCCCAAGGCAGCCTGAGTCTCCTCCTCAGGGGCACCCACGCCGGCAAAGCGAAGAAGGTCGGCTGCGAAGTCCACACTCGACGAGCGGTCGGCCGCCGAGTCCAAGGGTGGACGCTCGCCGTCCTCACCCACAGCCACGTCCATGGGATCACCTGGCTCCTCCTCCCACTCCTCGGGCAGGCCCCATGCAACGGGGTCAAAGGACGCGTCTCTGGCACGAAGAACTGCATAGATCTTGCCCTGCATGGAAGACTCCCCCGCCTCGTACAACTCCATCCCGTGCCGACCCAAAAACTCATTCCCCTCAGGGAAGCTCGTAAGATGAGTCAGGGTCTCCTGGGGGTGCGCAGAGATGTAGGCTTGGATATCCTGGATGAAGGCCTGGGAGTCCTTGTAAGCTGAAACAGCCACCCTCGCAGCCTCCTTCAGGGCCACCTGATGCGCATTACGCTCCCGCGACCGGCTGTCAATCAACGCGGCGTGCTGATCCTCTAGCGCAGCAAGTCTATCACTCACGACCTGGCGAGCCCGCGTCTCGGTCTCCAGCTGCTCGCGGACGCCCCCTATGGCTCTCTCCAGGGTCATGGCACGAACAACCGTCTGTACGAGGACAAGCATGAATAGAAGACAAGATAACAAAACAAGGAAATATAAGCGTCATTCAACGAAAAGGGAACATACCTCAAACAAAGGGCGGATGATGGCGTGGTCCTCGTGCAGGGCCATGTCGC